GGCCGAGTGTGCGCACCGGGTCGTGCTGCAGCTGCTGGCGCTCCGTGTTCGTCAGGTAGCGCCGCCTCCAGCCGCTCGCGCTTTCCACGTCCACACCGCCCCACTGCTCCTGGCGTAACATCGCCAGCAGATCCTGCGGGATGTGGTGGGCGATGACACGCAACCCCACTTCCCGAGCCCCTTGGGGGACCTCGCACAGCAGCCGATTGATCCAATCTATCGGGTAGCGCCCGTCCTCCAGCGGAGGGGGGTGCCGTACGACCTCGCTGGCTGGAACCTCCACCCTGACGCCCTCGAGGCTAGTCCCGATGATAAGTCTGGCGTCCCCGCCAGTGCCCCGTGCGTCGAGCCCCTCGCATTCTCCCAATAGAATAAACCAAGGACTCGCCGGGGGCGCGCCGTGCGCCTCCTCGGCTCCCCGAGGGTCGCCCGGGAGTATCGGGCAGACCTTCACGAGTAGGGGCTCCTGAAGCCACCCGTGGTGGGCGATCCGATCGCCCGGGGCCCCGCGGTCGGCGGACCGTGAGCGTCCGCTGGCCCTTGCTTCCGCGGAGCGTGTGCGACGCGGCTGCGGCCCCGAGGTTAGGGCCTGCGCCCCCGTGGGCTCCACATCGACAGATGGGGCCACGGCGGGCGGTGGCGGTGCAGCGGGGGGAGGTAGAGGCGGGGGGTAGACAGGCTCGGGCGCTATGCCAACCCCATCGGCAGCGTGCGCGGTCCAATCGCGCGCCCTGGCGGGGCTTGGAGCCCGCGCCCGCATGCGGCGGCGCAGGCCCCCGAGGATCCCAGGTTGGACCGTCGCCTCGACGCGCACGGTGTGACCCTCGTCCCGTCGGAGATGTTCCCCGCACATCGGGGCCCCCCCGCAGCTACCCTTCGCCATGCGGAGACAAGTGGGGAGGCTGCACTTGCGGCCGATCAGGGTAGACCGATACTTCTGCGCATGGTGGGCGCAGAGGTGCACCTGTGCATTGAGACAATGCCCCGGCCGGGGAACGTCCGACACCTCCGCGTCCTCCTGTAGCAGGACAGATCCTGCATCCCTCGGTCGCCGCACCCCTCCGGCTGGAGGGGGCGTGCGCCACCCGCGAGCTGCACCCCAACTTGTGCGGCTTGGCAGGGGCGCTCCTCCGCCTCCACCTCGCTCTCCGAGTCGATGTCCAGGCGGCGATAGCCCGTGGCGTCGGTCGATGTAGCGGGGCTCCGGCCGGCCCCGGCACAGCCATCCGAGTACCGACCAGGGTGAGCAAAGCAGCCACTTGACGACCCCGAATACCTTCCGGAGTCCCACGCCGACTGCCCGGCAGGCCGTGGCCCTTCCGTGCTCAGCCAAGTCCACGATCTGTGTGTGGTCAATGGCCGCGTACTGGTCGACGTGCATGGGATGCGCCACTGGACAGGAGGCGCACTCGACAGCACGACATAGATGCACATTCCCTGTCTCCTCGAGGTTCAGCCGCCACTTGCGACTGGTGCACCCCAGGACCTGCCCGATCTTGATGTTGAGCCCGTGGCGGTCCAATCGGTACCGGTCCGCGAAGTTGCAGCTGATGCGGGCCACCTGCCCGTGCTTACGCAGCAGCACGTGGTTGTACGCCCGATTGGTCCCTCGGCCGCGGACCCCCTTTGTGTAGAACTCTGTCTCCACCACGCCGCCCAAGCCCGGCCCGCGCCAGCGCACCAGCAAGGGGGTCGGAGGGGGTGGGGGAAGATGGGCGCCGGGCCCATCCCTCCGCGTCGCTGGCAGCACCGGGTAATCTGGTACCACGCCCAGCGGAGTCCCCCGGCAGCCCACAGCATAGGCTGGGCTGCGGTGTTGACGATGAAGGCCAGGGCACCCAACACGAACGTGAAGATGCCTAGGGCGAAGCATAAGACCGCGGTCTCCCACCAATACCCAAGCATCTTAACGCCCAGGCGGTCGACGGCGGATCCAATCCATCCGCCACTCGTGCGGATCGTGCCCGGGTGGTCGGGGGAGCTTACCCACGCTCCATAGCCCACGACCTCGAAGACCCAGGCTGCGAAGCCCCAACCGGGACCCGGCCCTGCCTCCGGGGGCGGGGTAGGTGGCGGCGGCGGCGGTGGGGGTTCGCTCCGGCCAGCCCACCAATGGGGCAGGTGCGGGACCCAACCACTCCACCCCCAATACCCGTCCAGCCCACGCGGCAGGTCAGGCTCACCATCGCCCGTCCGGTTTCCCGGGGCGGACGGCTGCCCAGGCGCGCCCGTGGGCTCGTTGTTACCTCCGTATGCCGGCGTAGCTGGGCTGCCTGTGGGCTCGCCCTCGCCTACGCGCCCGATGCCCGCGGTCGTGGTCGTTGTAGTCGACCCTGACCGCGGCGGCGGTGGGACGCCCGGCGTCCCCGGGGGCTTGGCCTGCGGCCCTCGCCCCTTTCCCCCTGCAGGCGCGGGCTTGGCGGGCGGTCCTCGCCCCTTGCCTCGCCCCCCACCGCCTGCCGGCGGCGCTGTCGGCCCGGGCAGGGCTGGCGGCGTCGGCGCTGGGACCTCATGTCCCCCGCGCCCGAACGGCAGCCAGCCAAGTGCCCCTTGGACCGTAAGAGCGCCGCCCGTAACCAAGATCATCAGGTGCGCCCCCAGGAAGCCCACAGCCATGGCACCACAGGCGCGCTACCTAGTCCGCGGACTAGCACGGCTGTGGTTATGGCCGCCCCGCGGCCCCCTGGAACACCCGCGCGTCGGCCAGAGCCGAACGCTACGGACCCAAAATGGCTACCTGAGCCCACGCCCCCTCCCACTTAACCTGCAGTCTACAACCAATCAGACTATGCAAGTGAGGACCGGCACCGCAACCCGGTCTGGGCCGACCTCAAGGACTTTCGCGAGGAGCGCTGGCTGCTGTATTTTGGCAAACCACAGAAGGTGAAGGTGGACCCTGAGGGCTCGTGGATGTCAAAGCAGGCCGCTGACTACTTCGACTCCGACTCCGTCGGATGCGAACCGACTCCGGGGCAAGCCCACCGGCGCATCTCTCTCGCAGACGAGGCGATCCAAGCCGCGAAAGGGACCATGGACCGGCTAGTCGCAGAGAGCCCCGAGATGTCTTCCGAGGAGGCCCTGGCCAGGGCGGTCGCAGCCGGGAACGCTCGAGAAGATGTCCGAGGCCACTCCCCGCTTCAACATGCCCTGGGAAGGGCACCCGACTTGGACGGCCATTTCTTCGAGAGCGACTTCGACGAGCTGCCCTGCGTCGAGGCCCAGCGCGTCGACAAGGAGTACGGCGAGAACTACGCAAGGATGTGCGCGGCAGTGCAGGAGTACCTGAGGCATGTCTACATGCGGCGCATCAGCTGGGCCGAGAACGCGAAGAACCAGGCGCTAAAGTCCGCGGCGCCAGGCACGTGGGTGCGCTACTTCCGCAAGGAGAAGGACGAGACCAAGGGCCGCTTCAAGGGGCTCGCGAGGGTGTTGGCCACGGAGACTGCACGCCCTATGGACGGCGATCTGGGACAGAGTGAGGCACTGCACCCGGCGCACCCTGGGACATTGGTCTGGCTAGTGCGGGCAGGCCGGATCATCAAGGTGGATCTGCGCCAGATCCGAGCCGCCTGCGCCTGAGAGATTGCGTACGCCGAGCTCATGGGAGGCAAGGGCACCCCCTGGACCATCAGCACCTCCATGAACCAGGCGATGCGACAGGAGTACCTGGACTTCACTGGGCACGACCCCACGGAGCACGACGTGCAGTTCGCAACCTGGGAAGGAGTTCCTGATGCGGCACCACCTCTGAAGAGGGCTCGCATGACTGAGCTAGCCGAAGACAAGGGTCCCCAGGTGACCCCGAGGGGCCAGCCTGCCCCTCCCGTGCGGAAGCAGATCCACAAAAAGGGGCAGCACCCTGGAGGCACTGCAGTCCGGGCCAGGGCGTCAAGGACAGCGGTCGCTGAGAAGAACCTGGAGGAACAGGCTGCGCTCATGGCCAAGGCGACCCTTGATGCCCGAGCCTTCTGGGCACGACAGGGAACATCCTTGGAGGTCTCGATGGAGCTCCCCCTCGCCGGCAAGGCCTCGAGGCAGGCCACCAGGCACATGAGCGCCTACATGGCAAGCCAGCTGAGGAAAGGGGAAGCGCGAGATCTCGGAGCGGACCCTCGCCCTGGACGAGTTGGACAGGTTCAACGGGGCAAAGGCCACTGAGGTGAACAACTACATCATATCCTCAGTCCTCGAGACCCTGCCTCCCGGGGCCATGCCGCCACCCGAGGAGGTCATGCGTATGAGGTGGCACAGGCGACAAGAAAGCGAAGACGCGGATCGTGGTCTTGGGCTACCTGGACCCCGAGTACGAGCACCGCCCGACCACAGCTCCAACGATGCCACATACTTCCAGGCACCTGCTGCTGCAGATGATGGCGTGGCTAGGCTTCAAGGGGTGCAAGGCTGACGTGACTGGAGCGTTCACCCAGAACCGCGAGATCCAGCACAACCTGTTCGTGATGCCCGTGAAGGACTTGGCCATGGCGCTTGGGATACCCGAGAGTGTCGCCGTGAGGCTCTGGAAGGCCGTGCACGGGCTCGTCGAGGCAGCCATTGAGTGGTTCATGACGGTGAGCGAGGCGCTCGAGGAGTTCGGCTGGACCCAGATGAAGATGCACCCGTGCGTCTGGGTGCTGTACGGCGACGCGCACGGCCAGGACAACAGCTTCACCAAGGATGCGCTGCAGGGATTCATTGACCCAGAGTTGCTCAACGAGCTGATCGGCGCGAAGGGGGGCCTCGACATCGCGGCGGTCGCCGGGTCGCACTTGGACGATTTTAGATTGGGCGGCAAGGAATCCGATCCGCGATGGGCCAAGGCTCGAGTGCAGATTCAAGGGCGTTTCATGTGGAAGACGTGGGAGACCGAGGAGCTCATGCAGACCAGAATGAGGATCAAGCAACAGCCCGACAGGAGCTTCCGCACGGACCAGAGTGAATATGTGAAGACCGTTGAGAAGGCCTTTTCTGACCCCGAGCGCAAGAGGAACAAGGACGCGGAGTCAGATCAGAGCAATCCTGGGCGCCGTCGGCTGGCGCTCCGAGCAGTCTTAGGACGACAAGAACCTATTGACACAATGTGCTATTGATACGTTCCGGAAATTCCAGGATTTCTAACAGCCTTCGCGCGGGGTACACTTTGCGTCGAGTATTGTCTACTCTGGCTGGCGTCGCTGGTCGGTCACCCATTCGCAATCGAGTGGTCACCCGTAAGGTGCTACTTGGCAGTTGCTGACCCCCTTTTTCGTTTCCGAGCACGGGGGGGACGGCGGCGCACCGTCCCATCGCCCGCCGCTGCGCACCGCGCGCCTCGGCGGATCCCCAAAGACCTGGCAAGGCAAATCACGCGCGACTCTGGAAAATTCTCCGGGGGGGAACTTGAACAAATCCAAGAACATGTTTGAACATGTCTGGCCTACTTTTCGAAAAATGTCAGAACCGTTTTGAACATTTCCGGGATCGATTTTGAAAAATTCCGGAATCCAATTTGAAAAATTCCGGATTTCAGAATTCTTCAGATGTCCTGCGCAGCGGGCGCATTCCACCCCTCATAACTGTTTTTTTGTTTTTTTGAAAATTTCCGGGCTCCTTCTTGAAAAATTCCGGAAACGCTTGCGCGAAAAAAAACGGAGACATTTGCTGACACATTCTATAATCAGGAACTAATGTCCGGGCGGCCCGACGGGCGCGGCCGGCTGATGTACGCGCCGCGCCGCGCGCGATTAGGCGCAGCGCGCGCCGCGCGTTGCGCCCGCGAACAGCACTCGAAGGGGCTACCTCGAAAACAGCGCCACGGCAGCTGCGACTCGCGGACCCCCCAAGAGCAACGCAGCATGCAGCTTGGAATCTTCGAGGGCGCTCCGATGCGCGGAAAATGCACCGCGAACATCACGCGAAGAACCTGCGCGACGGAACGCGCTCGACCATTCGTCCCTGAAACCCGCGCGGAAGAACAGGAAAACCTGGAAATGTGGAAAACTATCAATATCAATACTTCATGCTCCTCTGTCTGGCCCAATGCACTCGGCTGACACAAGCCTGCTCTTGAGCATAATCCCCTCGTCAACGGTGCAGACTATCAACGAGACGAATAGGCTGGTCGACCAGGTGCGATAATGCGCTGACCTGCCGGTGGTGATCCACAGCCTCTCACAGGCCCAGGTGCTGGTGCCGATTGAGTGGTCCGAATCACCCGAGTCGAACCGGCCCGACGGGAAGTCCACCAAGGGCCTGATTGCAGGTATGGCCCCGCTGAAGATCCTGAAGGGTGACGAGACCGACGTGAGCCTGGTGTCGTGGAAGTCCGGCAAGATCGACCGAGGCTGTCGCAGCTCCGTCGCCTGTGAGACACGGTCGGCAGTGGATGCGGACGACGAGCTGTTCGGCATAAAACTGCAGTGGCTCGCGATGCTCGGCAACTCCATCGACTGGCGCAACGCGGAGGATACGCTTGCCAAACTGCCAGGGGCCGTTGTGGTGGATGCCAAGGGGCTGTACGACAAGCTCCAGACTACAGTCTACACCTTCCGTGGCAAGGAGAAGCGAACAGACGTGGAGGCGATGACGCTGAAGGAGGGAACCCAGGCCGCCAACAACTGGATGCTCTGGGTCCACAGTGATGCTCAACTAGCAAAATCACTGACCAAGGGGCAAGAGCCAGGACAGCTCAGGATGTACTTCAACAGCGGCCACCGCTGGAAGCTGGTCTATGACGCCAAGTACCAGAGCGCACGTAAGCGGAAGGCAGGAGGGATCCTTCCATTCGAGAATGTCCCACAGGAGGTCGTGAGAAGCTCAGAGCCATCGAGGGAGCCAGCTTCTGGAGCAGCGAATCTGGAGTCTCCTGATTACGAGGCCCTCTCGACTGACGAATCAGACGAAGATAGCATGCTCAGCTTGGAGGACCCTTATCCGTGCAGATCTGGTTCTGAGCAAGCCTGAGCACTGAGATTCGAGAGGGCAAGCAGTGTGAGTGAGGTGCTTTGCAGGGCCCGCCCACATGTGTTCTGCTGCCGTTTTGGCCCTAGCGCCCCCTCGCTTGCGCTTAGAGGCGCGGAGTGATAAGGAAGTTCGATGGGTCGAGCTTGATCTTTTGTAGTTCAGGAAAAGGTCGAGGAGATAGATACCACTGCGCGATTCCGCCTACCACTTGCACGGGGGGGGGTCACATACGCATCCGACCCTGGGCGTCCCGGAGCCCAAAAAAGCACCAAGACGCGCCAAAAGGGCACCAAGCAGGCCCAAGAAGAGGACCACGAACCAACACTTCTAGCTTCCCGCCCCAAGAAGCCCCCAGAAGGCCCCAAGAGCCCCTCAAGGGGCCCGAAGAGGCCCCCAAGAGACCCCCAAGAGGTCCAACAGAGGCCCTAACAGGTCCGAAAACATCCAAGAGGCCTTTCAACCACAACCCCAGCACGGTGGCGGGAAGCGCCACAGGCCACAAGGCTGCCTGTCTGTCCCACATGGGGAACATCTCCTTCGCCTTCTCCAGCTCCCTTCCACCTTCATCCCCCTCCTCCTCCTCCTCTTCCTCCTCGTATTCGTCGTCGTCGTCGTCTTCAGGGTCGGCGGCACCGGCTTAAGGCCTTAGCAATAAAAAAAAAACGGGGCGGCCACTACTTCGTAGCTTCAGGCCTCGGCGAGCAAGTTTCGGGGCGGTCGGCCTGGAATGGACAACTGGCCGGGGGAGCGGGATCGACGACGACGACGACGACGACGACGACGCCGACGCCGACGCCGACGACAAGCAGCTAGCCCTGAGATCCGAAGTCACATCAAAATGTCAACATCGTGCGAAATCACAGCCAGATCCCTAGACCTGACGTTTCTGCCGCATTTTTGCAGCCAGATCAATTGAATGACGGTCACGCGGCCCGAAAACGAGCGAAAACGCCCCGCCCGCAGGGAGGGCAACGACGATCGCAGATCGCAGGGAGGGCAACGACGACGAGTGGACACAGCAGAATAGGCCGCGCGGCGGCGACGTTTTTTGGGCCAGGCGTGCGGACAAAGCTGGCAGCACACCTCCGCGCCGGGGATCCTCTCGTAGGACTGCAGCTCGGTGCCTCCGCAGGAGGCGCAGCCGTTGTCGTCGCCCTCCTCCTCCACCTCCTCCTGCTCCACTTCTCTTTCCTCATCCTCAGTTCCTTGTTCTCGAAAAGCATCCCTGAGTAGCCCCTTACCCAGTGAAAGGTTGGGCGACAGCGGCGTAAGGTATGTTGACCTCACTTTCAGGCCAAGTTCGGCCTCCCCAGGGAGGTATTGACAGCATCTGGCGACAATGCCAGCGTCGCTCCTGTACTTTCGGCACGTCGGAGGTTCAGCCCTCCGGGACACAGCACGGCGGCAATGCCGTTGGTCCTGCACAACTACCCCACCCACGAGGCAAGCGCCTCTTAGACAGTGTGGCGGCAATGCCAGCGGCTGTTGTTTACTTTCGACACGTCGTGGGTCCTGCCCTCTGGGACACGTCCCGGCGGCAATGCCGGCGGTCCTGCACATCTGCCCCCCCAGAGGCAAGCGCCTCTTGAACTCAGTCTGGCGGCGGCTCTTGATTACTTTCGACACGTCGGAAGTTCTGCCCTCCGGGACACAGCACAGCGGCAATGCCGGCGGTCCCGCACAAGTACCCAACCCACGAGGCAAACGCCTCCTGGACAGAGTCTGGCGGCAATACCAGCGGACCTTGATTACCTTCGACACGTCGGAAGTTCTGACCTCTGGGACACAGCCCCGCGGCAATGCTGAGTGTCCCGCACAGCTACCCCACCCACGAGGCAAGCGCCTCTTAGTCTTGAACAGAGCCTGGCGGAAATGCCAGCGGCTCTCGCTTACTTTCGAAACGTCGAAACGTCGAACAGAGCCTGGCGGCAAAGCCGGCGGTCCTGCACAACTGCCCCACCCACGAGGCAAGCGCGTCCTAGACACAGTGTGGCGGCAATGCCAGCGCTTCTTACCTTCGGCACGTCGGAAGTTGACACAGCCCAGCGGCAATGCTGGCGGTCCTGCACAACTGCCCCACCCGCGAGCCAAGCACCCCTTGGACACAGTCTGGCCGCAATGCCAGCGGCTCGTGCTTACTTTCGACACGTCGGAGGTTCAACCCTCCAGAACACAGCCAGGCGAGAATGCCGGTGGTCAAGCACCACTACCCCACCCCCTTGCCCCGCAATGCCAGCGGTTCTTGTTGTACTCACGTCACGTCGAGGTGCAGCCCTCCAGGACACAGCCCGGCGGTAATGCCGGCGGTCCTGCAAGACTACCCCATCTACGAGGCAAGCGCCTCCTGGACACAGACTGGCGGCAATGCCAGCGGCTCTTGAATACTTTCGACACGTCAGAAGCTCAGCCCTCCAGGACACAGACCAGCGACAATGCCGGCGGTCCTACACAACTACTGAGATGACTCTTGGATATGCTATAACTTACCGGGGATGAATAAAGTGTCCACCGAAAAGCTAAATATTAAGCGATGGCTTCCAGGCACACTTACAAATTATTGCAAGCCGTCTAAGGAATAGTAAAGCACAGGTTCATTTCAATACCCCCCACCTCTTGGACACAGTCTGGCGGCAATACCAGCGGCTCGTGTTGCGTCGGAGGTTCTGGCTTATGGGCCACAGCCAGGCAGCAATGCCGGCGGTTGTGGAGGCAAGCGCCTCTTGAACAGAGTCTGGCGGAAATGCAATGAGCCCTTGTTTACTTCCGACACGGATCAGATCCTGACATCCGGGACACAGCCTGGCGGCAATGCCCGCGGTCATGCACAACTACCCCACCCTCGAGGCAAGCACCTCTTGGGCACAGTCTAGTCGCAATGCCAGCGGCTTCTGATGTGCTCTCAATACGCCGGAGGTTCAGCCCTCCAGGGCACATTCCGGCGGCAATACCAGCGGTCGATCCTGCACAACTACCCCATCTACGAGGCAAGAGCATCCCGGGCACAGTCTGGCGGCAACGCCAACGGCTCCTGTTTACTTTCGACACGTCGGAGGTTCAGCCATCCGACACACAGCCCGGCGGCAATGCTGGCGTTTCTACACGACCGCTTGGATTGCCGCACATGCACCCCGACGCTCCGCAGCCTTCAGAAACGAAAAGGGCAAAGGCCGCGTGGCAATCTACAGGTCTTGGTATGCAGCTTTGGGTGTTCGCACTATCGTATACTTTCCCCAACCATGCTGCACAGAGGCAATGAACTTTGGTGGCCCAGATTGCTGCCCCCGCCGCGCCACGGCCTGAGCCCCCCCCAAGGGGGGGGGGACGTACATCCAAACGGACCTTGGTGACCAATTGTTTTGCCCCCGCTGTGCCGCAGACTTCCGAGATGTACGCTGCAGATCTCCCCTCAGGCAATCCTGCGGCAGCATGGGAACCCCCAGGGACCTCTGGGAGCCGTCCTGCGACTCTGGCAGGTCACAAGATGAAGATTCTGTGCGGCAGTTCTTCCTCGAGGGCCCTCTTGTGATCGCCTGGGGCCCGCCAGGGACCCCAGAGGGGTTCCTCTGCGACCCTGGACGGCTTCCCAAGCCACCGCCCCGCTGCCGTTCAGGCAAGTGCCGCGGCGATGCCTCTGCTTCAATGTGTCTCCCCGCCCTGAGGCCCTGGGTCCGCACTGCCCCTTACCCTTAGGTCGGGCGTGTCCTCCTATCGGGGATGGGCAGACCCCCCCTTTAGCACAACGTGGTTTAGTGGAAACGACCTGAGGCCCAAACCTGGCGGGCGCAAACCTGGAAAATGACGGCCACGGCGCCCTCTCGAGAACCGAAAACGGACAATTCACTAATCGACGTGTCACTGTTGGGGGTTCTGTCCAGCCCCGATCCCACGGGAGGGTGTTGTACGAAAGACCAGACATACACCAAAAATGCAGGACAAATCTTCAAAGGTTATCAAACATGTTGTCCCCAGCCCATGTTTCAAAACTAGTTTTGGATATCCCTCCTGTAGATCGAAGGACAGGCCCGAAACCTTACCCTGCGCGAACAGCCAGGGGCCTGGGCCCTGCCCAGACCCGCGCTGCGACGGCGTCGTCCGGCGAGGGCCCGCGGGCTCAGGGAGCAGCGCGGCCGCGCGCACCCCGCGGGGAGCGGCGCGGCACTTACGTGAAGTCGGGCGTGTCCCCCTACAAGGGGGTTTCTGGACGGAAAAAAAATACCCCCAAAATGCCCAAAACACACTCAAAAATAGTCAAACAATCGTCCCCAGACTATTTTGGATTATTTTTGAATTTTCCTCCTGTAGAAGGACAAGCCGGACTTAACACTCGCGGTCCCGCGCCACAAGTGCCATCGTCTGCGCCATCACCGTCGCCTGCCAGTTCGAGCATCCAGCAGCCACCCACGGCTGGGCAAAAACGCCCCGAACGCGGCGGCCAGATCTTCCCCTGGGCAAGAACCAAATCAACTTCAACGGGGCGACACCTTCGACATTCCGCCCCCAAGGGAAGCTTCCCGGCCCTACGGCTGCACTATCGCAGCCAAAACATAAAGGCCCCCACCAATTTTGTGAGCTTCATGCGAAAGCTGGGGCACGCGCAAAGAGGGCTGCAAACGGGGGTCCGTCACGGGCCCCCCTGCGGAAGGAGGCCAGGGTCCCAAATCAACCACTGTCCAAGATCGCACTGGCCAAGGGGGAGGTCACCTTCTGGGAGCAACCCTCGACGCCAGGCTCGGCAGGGGCTAATCAACGACACTTGGCAGCAGTAGAGAACCTGAAGCGCCTCGAGGAGGAGGCTTTCCTCGCCTTATCCACAGCGGAGAAGTACCAGGCCGTCAGTGCCCGGCGTTCCAAAGCAGAGGAAGCGCTTGCACAAGAAATCTTGGACATGGAAGAAGCCGGCGATCAGATCGACAACCTGTGCGACAACTGCCCAAATACAGCCTCGCACCCTGGAGGTCTGCGCAGCCAGGGAGCAGCAGAAGGCCCTCAAGTTGCAATTGCAGTCGCCGACCCCCCTCGGGCAACAAAGATCCTTCAGCGGCGAACATCGTGGAATACCTCCGCAAGCCCCCAGACATCGACATCCACTCGGAAGACCCAAATTAACTCAAAGGAAAAATCAAGGCCGACCTGAACAAGAGTACCAGCGAGCCCCCGGAGCCAGAAGAGCCGCTGCCCGCCGACCCAGGCAGGCGAAACTTGCCCATAAAGTCAAGCAGGTTGGCCAGGCCTCAGAGGATGTCGCACGGGACGCCGGGAAACTCGCGGGAGAGACGAGCGAGGACGCGGCAGGAGGCGCAGCCGAGGCGGCCCTGGGAGCCCCAGCCCCGGCGGGCGGGGATGCGGAAACATCTCCCATCCCGCGGATCGGCGCCGCCGCGCCCGAGGAGGCGGCCCCTCCGGACGAGGGCGCGAGGCTGGCCGTGGCCGCGGCGGCAGAAGGCGATCCACAGGCGGGTAACACTCCCGCATGGGCCCCGGTCACGGCTTTGTCCGCCCTTGTCCTGCCGCAAAGTTCCGCAACGATGCACTTCTGCACCTCCAATGGGGGATTCCCGGGCAACGGTCCGCCCCCTTCTGGAGAAGGGAAGCTTCAAGACGCTCGGGCAATCTTCTTACGAGAGACCCTCCTGGACGACCCGCGCAAAATCAGGCTAGCCCTGGAGGCGCGTGACCGTCACGCATGGCACCCGATGTTTGATCCGGCAACCGGGTCGGACGGCAACCGCCCAGTTGGAGGGGTTGCCAGTCTGGCCAGGCAGACGAAGAATGCTGGCGTCTCTCGCCTACCTGGCTCACCCCCTCACCCGGATCCGTCGAGGCTGGTGGCGGTCAAACTTGACTTACCCGGCTTCGCACCTCTGATTCGCTCCCATCTGTCTCCCCCATGTGCCAAGCTGGTTGCTTGTAACACCAATCGCCAGTTGCACGCCACGCGACGCCATGCAATCGGCGCCGCTCCAGTTACACACTGGTCCCGTCAATCACCTGTGACTATATATATATATATATACAAATATGAATATACATGTAGATATAAATATAAATATGCCCGGCTGATGGGGGGACCAGGGCTCAAGCAATCTCGGCGCCCCCCCCCGCCGCGCTCGCGCAGCGGAAGTCT